AATAGTACATGAGCCATATATCTATCTAGTGGTTTAACATACCTTCTTTTATTGTGTTAGTTTAGCTGCAGAGGTTCTTGAATTACTTCTTGAAACATAAAAGGTTGCCATTGCCAAGTTGATACATGGGAAAAATAGTTTCAAATAAAACATTGGGTGATGCGTTTCTTAGGAGTAGCCAAATGGTAGGAGTGTAGCTTCCTACTTCTCCTGAATTCAGTGACTTGCTTGACGAAAAGTTATGGAGAACTCAAAATTGCATATTTATTATGTCATTTTGGTCGGTATCAATGGATTTAGGGTCCCCCCCCCCAAATCTGGAGCTGAATTCATAGGCCACACCAGAGAGACACTGCCTCATCTCCCTCTTTCCTTTTCCCCCTCCCATAACAGGAAGTTTAACAGTTGTTGCTGTTGAGCTGAAATTTCCCCTGAGGCAATTGAAAAGACTGTTCTACTTGAGACAATTACAATTTTCACTATTTGTTTTGTTCCCTTGGTTATGGCACTGCCCAGCTTAGTAATCACATTTTCCTTATGTCAGTCTAGCCAGTCCCTGCATCATCAGTTGTTGACTAGAGGAGCTGAAATGTCTTTAATTTTTAAAAGCATCTGATATTTGCTATGGAAAATCTCCTAGATAAGGTCAAGGAGCCATTCTTATTCCAGCTGTTCCTTTGTTCCTTGATTATGTGGATTTTTTTCCCCAGGAAAAAAAAAAGAAAGAGATTTCTCAAGATTCAGCCTTTTTTATAATGGGCTATAATTACTTGATTGAATCTGGTTTCTTTTTGTCTCTTTGTGAGTTGCATCTTTGAAATAATTTTTTAAAATCGATTTTAAAAAACCCAAGGAAAGACTTGCTTATCTTTATCTGTGTTCAAGGACCAATTATTGTATATGCTGGAGAAAAATTATGAAGGGATTATAGGATCCAAAAAAGAAAATGTGGGTGGATTTCATTCATATTAATCCCATGGAAAAGAAGCAGATTTAGCCATCTTTCTTTTTAAGGAAGTCACCCCAAAAGGTTGGTTTATTTTCTCTCTGAATTGGGCTCCATTATTTCAATTTATTTTGGACAGTTTTTTAATTCAAAAAATAAACAAATTGTCCAGTGACTGGTCAGAGTGATGCACTTTGATACAAACCGTGTATTAGGTGAATCCACTAAGACTACAAGACAGTCTCTTTGCACAGCTCAAATAGTTTCCTGCAACTTCATAAACTAAGCAGAACCTGAACTCTTAGCTTCAAGCAGAACACTAAACTAAGAATGTAATGACCTTAAAAACTAATTAAGACTAGCTTTGCTAAATCTAAACTGACATCAGAAGGTATGCTAATGTTCTTGGCAAAGATTTAACAAAGCTTTTGTCCTTTGTTTAGCATAAAAATATTGGTAGAGTTGTCTATTCATCTTCTCACTTCTGTGAGCTCCATTCAACATTTAGAATAGAATAGAATAGAATTCTTTATTGGCCAAGTGTGACTAGACACACAAGGAATTTGTCTCCGGTGCATAAGCTGTCAATGTACATACAAGCAACAAAGTGATAGGTCATAGATTATAAATTACAGTTATCATAAATCATATTTGTGGCCCACAAGGTTTTTTTTTTATTATTATCAATATGTCCCTTTTCTCTTGATACAGGCCCTTCTATCCTGAAATAATACATTTAAATGAATTATATTTTTATAGTTTATAGTTTATTGGATTTCTATACCGCCCTTCTCCCAGGGGACTCAGGGCGGTGTACAGCCACATTAAAACACATGAATTTATAAAATTTAAAACCAATTAAAACAAATATATACAATTTGGCCCTCAAATTAAAACACACATACACCCACTTAAAATTCATATTAGGCCAGTCCGGCTTGCTGAAACAGGAAGGTCTTTAGGGCACAGCGAAAAGTATGCAAGTCGGGGCTAAGACGAAGCTCTAGGGGCAGCTCATTCCAAAGGGCTGCTGCCCCCACAGAGAAGGCTCTCCCCCTGGGTGTCGCCAGTTGGCATTGTTTGGCCGATGGCACCCTGAGGAGCCCCTCTCTATGGGAGTGTATTGGCTGGTGGGAGGTTGTTGATGGCAGAAGGCGGTTGTCAATTTGCAAAGCTTTCAAGTTGCCATGAGCAGGAGGGAGGGAGAACTGATAGAGCTGATTGATTTCCCTAACTGAAGTGCATTCCATACATTCTTCCTGACCGCAATCAGAAGGAGGGTGTTGGATTTCACAGCCAGCCAAAGTGGTTAATTGGAGAATGTGACTTATGACATGGCCAGAGAGGAGGGGAGAGACAGGGTCATAGGGGAACGTAAATCTACATGGGATTAGTTCTAACTGCATCCGAATATTGCCGAAATGGTGCTCCTAATAAATGACTGTATATCTTTTGAAGTTTGGCTCATGGCTCATGAATTAATTAGGGCATCTTTCAGAAACTTCACAGCGGTCTCGTATGTATCCCAGTCCTAAACCATGGAGCGCTTTAAAGATGGTGACCAACACCTTGAATCGCACTTGGAAGACCAACGAGAGCCAGTGCAGCTCACGCAGGAGGGGTGTTATATGGGCGCGCCGAGTCGCACCCATAACCACCTGCGCAGCCGCATTCTGGACCAGCTGGAGCCTCTGAGTGCTCTTCAAGGGGAGCCCCATGTAGAGAGCATTGCAATAGTCCAGACGGGATGTGACGAGGGCATGAGTGACTGTGCGCAGGGCATCCTGGTCCAGAAAGGGACGCAACTGGTGCATCAGGTGAACCCGATAGAAAGCTCCCCTGGCCACGGCTGTCATGTGCTCCTCCAAAGACAGCCATGCATTCAGGAGAACACCCAAGTTGCGAGCCCTCTCTGTGGGGGCCAAGATCTCACCCCCAATAGTCAGCGATGGCGCCAGCTGACTATACCGGGACGCCGGAAGCCACAGCTCAAACTTGAGTTTGAGCCTGTTTCTCCCCATCCAGATCCGCACGGCTTCCAGGCACCGGGACATCACATCAAGGGCATCATTGGGGTGGTTCGGAGTGGAGATGTATAGCTGAGTGTCGTCAGCGTACTGATGGAATCTCACTCCGAAACCATGGATGATCTCGTTCAGCGGCTTCACATAAATGTTGAACAGAAGAGGCGAGAGGACTGACCCTTGCAGCACCCCACAAACAAGGCACCTCGAGGTTGACCTCTGCCCCCTGCCAACACAAACTGCGTGCGGTCGGAGAGGAAGGAGGAGAACCACCGCAACACGGTGCCCCCCACTCCTAACCCCTCCAATCGTCGCAGCATGATACCATGGTCGATGGTATCAAAAGCCGCTGAGAGATGTAATAGGACCAGGACAGAGGAACAACCCCTGTCCCGAGCCCTCCAGAGATCATCAACCAATGCAACCAATGCCGTTTCCGTGCTGTGCCCTGGCCTGAAGCCCGACTGGAACGGGTCTAGATAATCGGCTTCATCCAGGTACTGGGGCAGTTGTCGCGCTACCACACTCTCAACAACCTTCGCCATGAAGCGAAGGTTGGAGACTGGGCGATAATTCGCTAATGTAGCCGGGTCCAGGGAAGGCTTCTTGTGGAGAGGCCTCACCACTGCCTCTTTCAAAAAGGGGGGGAAGTAACCTTCACTCAAAGAAGCGTTAATAATCCCCTGGGCCAGCCTCGTGTAACTTCCCGGGAGGCCAGCACCAACCAGGAGGGACACAGATCCAACAAACATGTGGCAGCGCTAAGCCTCCCCAGAATCCTGTCCATGTCCTCGGGAGTCACAGGGTCAAACTATTTCTTGTGCTATTTGTTTCTTATATAACATTTCTTGTCTGTCTGTCTGTCTGTTTGCTTGTCTGCCTTTTTATCCTATTTCTCATTTATATAGCTGCCCATCTCACAGAACAAGCCCTTCTGGGCAGTTTACAGCACATAAAAACAATAAATAAATACCTAAAATCATAATTATTAATAGAAAACATCAAAACTTATTTATTGTTACTTATTTATTTACATAAAAGGGGAAGACCTTTGAAATGGGAAATAAGGAAGATTATTCCCACCATGTCAAAATGGTTTCATATTGGATAATGATTAAATTTGCCTTCACATACATCCTTTTCTGAGGCAGTATTTACCAGCATCCTTTCAAAGTAATTTTTTTGAACTTTTATTTGGTTTAATGAATCAAAAGGAATCAATCAATTCAATATTTTGAAGGTAGCTTTTCTTGCTGATTCCTGTAGCCTAGGTAATTTAATAAGTGTCGTTTTCTGGTTCATTTTGTGTATTTTACAGAACTGGCCTGCTTTGTAATGAGTAGGGCAAACTTTTAATGTTTCTTTCTCAACATCACAAATAGGAAGTTCATTGCATTTTTACACCACCATGCATCCAAGAGCTCAAGGCTGTGTACACAGTACTTTTTTTCCGCAAAGCAATTCTGTGCTATAAACTGTGCTGCAGTATGAATACAGTCTAGAAAGGATTATAAATTATTTGAGACTTTGGAAAGTGAAGAGGATTAGCTGGTCTGAATATAAGCTTTAGTTTGCATCATCTTGCATCACGTTACAATTCTGTAGAAAATAGTCCAGCTGATTGGGCAGCTCAGAAATTGTTGGGTCTGCTTTCTTCATGTAACTCAAGGTAGCTTGAAAAGAGAAAATAATAAATACTAGTTACAAAGTGTTAAGTCTTCTGATTTTCACCACTACCAAACATGCTTTACTGGGGTTTGTTCCTACTTGGCAGGAAGTGATAATAAAGCAAAACTATAGAATCATGCATTGAAGTATGTAAAAATGTAAAAGAATCTTGGAGATAATTTTAGTCCAGCTTCCTGTCCTGTGCAAAACCCCACAGAAGTGAAACTTTTTTCAAACCATTATCATTTCTCTTTAAAGAAATGTGTTTCTATCCTGCATATTGTTAAGGACAATTTTTGGTTCTGGAAGGAACAGGAGAGAACACTTCTATATTTCAATTTTTCATTCTGATTTCATTTCAGCTGATATTGAAAATGGGCAGCGGGGGCTGGACCCTGAGCAGATGCAACAACAGCAGCTTAAACTTTGGGAAAGGCAGAGATTCTTTGAAGAAGTTTTCCAGCACGATGTTGATTTCTTCTTCCCAGTATCACATCTGCAGATAGAACACAGGAGACGTAAGTTCAAGTGTCATGTTCATAGACCTTACATGGGCATCCTGTATCATCAAGTACCAGTGTTCTACTCCAAATCTCTTTTTGTGACACTTTATAGCAATTGTAGTACCACTGCTTTTCAGCAGGAAGGCAGCTATTTCCCACCTTGCGCCCAAAAATCCCTATAAAAATAACATCATGTGCCCTCAGATAGGCTCAATGCTGTTAAAATAACAAAACATCACATACAAATCCTAGAAGAATAAGAACTAGTCCTGTCCATGCTATGATGCAGCCTTGCTTTCTCTACATCATTGTGCAATTCAGTTTAGTCCCCAGGCTCCAGAAAAGGCTGCTTATCCTGTTTCATGGTACTGAATGGAAAAACTGTGTGTTATTTGTATGAGAACAGTCAGTAAATTTGTAATTTATTTGTGATTAATTTGGGCAGCAAGCTATGAAATGGAGATCCATTTCTTCCATAATAAGCGTAGGTATAAACCAGTGGTGAAATCCAATTTTTTTTACTACCAGTTTTGTGGGCGTGGCTTGGTGGGCGTGGTGTGGCTTGGTGGGCGTGGCAAGGGAAGGATACTGCAAAATCTCCATTCTCACCCCACTCCAGGGGAAGGATACTGCAAAATCTCCATTCCTACCCCACTCCAGGGGAAGGATACTGCAAAATCCCCATTCCCTTCCCACTCCTGGGGGAAGGATATTGCAAAATCTCCATTCCCACCACACTTGGGGGCCAGCCAGAGGTGGTATTTGCCGGTTCTCCAAACTACTCAAAATTTCCGCTACAGTTCTCCAGAACCTGCCAGAACCTGCTGGATTTCACGCCTGGTATAAACCATTATCAAGCTGTGTCTTGCCCTGTGCTATTATGAGAATTCTTCATGCAGTGTGATCTCTGATAGTTCCTACATCTTTCCAGCTCCCCTAGGTAGCATTTCTTCCATGGAGGTCAATGTCGACATGCTGGAACAGATGGACATGTTGGATCTCTCTGACCAAGACACTGTTGATGTATTTCTTAGCTGTGGGACCGAGGACAACAACAATGTAGCTACCCTGTTGCCAGGTATGTACAACTTCCATAACTACCCACATCAATTATTGGCCCCTGTGTTCCATCTGAAATATGTTATGGTAAAACTCTTTGTTCAGGGAAAGGGTTGGAAATTTAACCAAGTTAATGCAGTTCATCAACAGGTCCAGCATGGGCATTAATGGTAGAAATTAGTAAGGATGTAGATACAATGGGCAACAAGAATAATCTTGAGAAACAGGAAAAGAGTGGTCATAGTTAGACAAAACAAGTTTCAGTCTGAGGCAGAAATGTAATTTGAGGAAGCATTTCAGATTTGACCCTCCTTAATTCTGATGAAGGAAGGAAGGACTCACTGGAGAAGAGCCTAATGCTGGGAAAGATTGAGGGCAAAAGAAGAAGGGGACGACAGAGAACGAGGTGGCTGGATGGAGTCACTGAAGCAGTAGGTGTGAGTTTAAATGGACTCCAGAGGATGGTAGAGGACAGGAAGGTCTGGAGGAATGCTGTCCATGGGGTCGCAATGGGTCGGACACGACTTCGCAACTAACAACAACTAACAACAACAAAAATATTCCAATAAAAATAGTATTAGCATTCTTGACTTTAATTTCCTAGTCTAGTCTACCTCAAAGGGCTGACAACAGAAGAGAGATGGCCTCCTAGGGAAACTCTTAGCATCCTGGTCATTAGAAATAGCACCTTAACTTGTCTTCTCAGCCTATGACACAGTTTTCATTGGTATCTTTTTCTGCAACTATGAAAAATACTGTAGAAACTTTAAAAATATATTATTTATTTATCTATCTATCTATCTATCTATCTATCTATCTATCTATCTATCTATAATTTTATACCGCCCTTCTCCCAAAGGGACTCAGGGCGGTTTACAGCCAAGATAAAAAGCAACAATATAAAGGTTAAAAACAATTTAAAATTATTAGATAGTTTGGCCAATCATCTAAAATACAATAACCCATTAAAATAATATTTTAGGCCAGCCCTGCTTGATGGAATAATAGCGTTTTAAGGGTGCGGCGGAAGGTACAGAGGTCGGAAATCCGACGAATCTCCGGGGGCAGCTCGTTCCAGAGGGCAGTTACTCCCACAGAGAAGGCTCTCCTCCTGGGGGTCACCAGTCGACACTGTCTAACTGACGGCACCCTGAGGAGACCCTCTCTGTGGGAGCGTACTGGTCGGTAGGAGGCTATTGGAGGCAGAAGGCGGTCTCGTAAATATCCAGGTCCTATGCCATAGAACGCTTTAAAGGTAGCGACCAACACCTTGAATCGCACCCAGAAAACCACTGGGAGCCAGTGCAGCTCGCGCAGGAGCGGTGTTACATGGGAGCACCGAGTCGCCGCCATAATCACCCGCGCGGCTGCATTCTGGACCAGCTGGAGCTTCCGGGTGCTCTTCAAGGGGAGCCCCATGTAGACAGCATTACAGTAGTCCAGACGGGAAGTGATGAGGGCGTGAGTGACTGTGCGCAAGGTGTCCCAGTCCAGAAAGGGGCGCAACTGGTGGATCAGGCGAACCTGATAAAAAGCCCCCCTGGCCACAGCTGTCAGATGGTCTTCTAAAGACAGCTGACAGTCCAGGAGGACACCCAAGTTGCGAACCCTCTCTGAGGGGGCCAAAGTCTCACCCCCTATAGTCAGTGATGGAACCAACTGACTATGATGGGATGTCGGAAACCACAGCCACTTGGTCTTGGAGGGGTTGAGCCTGAGCTTGTTTCTCCCCATCCAGATCCGTACGGCCTCCAGGCACCAGGTCATCACTTCAAGGGCATCATTGGGGTGGCCCAGGGTGGAAATGTACAGCTGAGTGTCATCAGCGTACTGATGGAAATCCACCCCGAAGGGTGACTTTTTGTTCTGTCATATTCTCTTGCTCTGTTTTCTAAAATTAAAGTCAGATAGAAATAGATAGGGTAGAAATCAGGGAAAGTACTGGGAAAAATATTCATAAGTGAGATGGTATACAATGGAACCAATCTTGTATAATACCGTATTTCCCCGAAAATTATATTTTTTTTGAACCCTGAAATAAGCTCTTGGCCTTATTTTCGGGGAGGTCTTATTATTTTGGGGTACGTGGAGCAAGACGGGGCTCCTCTTGCCGTCTTACGCAATTTCCAGCTCTGCGTTTAAATATTATCAAAGGATGTCTTATTTTTGGGGAAACCGGGTACATTGAAATACATTGAAAAACTATGCTATCAAATAGAGTCAGTCAAAGAAGCTCTATCCCAGGCATATTCCTTTTAAGGGAGATTATAATTGCTTTTTAGTGGGAGCATTGAGTTGGGAGATGAAGTCATAACCCAAAACAAATTTCCAGATGGCCACTGGACAAGGCTTGAGCGTTTTTGTTTTATAAGTTCCCCACTGTAGCTGAAAAACTCAAATACCCATAATCAGTTTAAACCCAGAAGGTATTGTATGCCTTTCTGTTAATCCAGAAACCTCACAACCCTGACTAATGTTCTGCCATTAGTACAGAGAAACTCTTGTTTTCCCCTTTCCTACAGACCATTCTTTATTTGCTCTAAACTTTCAAGTATTTCCTATTACCCATATGTATTCTTTACTCCTTTTCAGAAACGTATAGCTTCCATTTTGTCATGTCTGGCCCTTTCTGTGTTAATTTGAATTGAACAAAATTGAAATAATGAAGTAAGCCCCAAAGACCATGGGTATGCTGCTGTTGGCATTAGATAATTCTGGCATTCTGTAAAACTTGAAACATCACGAGCATTTATATAAATTAAAGTCTAAGGAAACAATTGGCTTTCTTACTCCCACTGACAAGATTTGGGTGTCTGTTTATCCACCTTAGCCAATCTTAACCAAGGAATCTTAACCAAGATTCCTATTATTATCTTAGCAATATGAATCTTGGTTTAAGGCAGGAGCAGCCATGTCATGGGTCTCTGACATGTCCCCTAACCCTATTGTGATCCCCAGAACTTCTGCAGCTCACACTACTCAATGGCAAAATTGCTGACACCATAAGTAAAGGTTTGGATCAAAATAAGGGTCAAAGCAGGAGCAGTATAACCTCCTTTAGAAGTAATACACCTTTGTCACTCCATAAATTGAGCCCCTAAATTAGATTAAACGTTTTTGCCCTAACTAACTTCATGACATCCCAGTATTAGTGGCCATGCTAATAGGCACTTGAAACTTATTCAGAGTTGGCTGCAGTTGGAATGATTTATAAGCCATGTAAATAAATAAATTAAATAAATACACAATAATTCAATGTTAAAAAGAGAGCTGTACAGTTTATGGCCATATATAGTATCAGTTTGGAAAAAAACATTTCTGGGCTTTTCAGGACAAGACATCCCCGCCCCCCCTCCCCAAAAAGTGAACCCAAGGATTTACCTGTGGCAGATACATTCCATTGCTGTTTTGCTGGTCTTTTTGGATAGAATAAAGTACCCAGCCTTAAGGATGTCCTCAAGTGTGTATTTGCCCACTTTGTGCCAAGAGGGTAGACTGACTCCACAGCAGGTCCGAATCAGTGGTGAAATCCAAATTTTTTTACTACTGGTTCTGTGGGCGTGGCTTGGTGGGCATGGTGTGGCTTGGTGGGTGGGGCAGGGGAAAGATACTGCAAAATCTCCGTTCCCACCCCACTCTGGGGCCAGCCAGAAGTGGTATTTTCCGATTCTCTGAACTACTCAAAATTTCTGCTACTGGTTTTCCAGAACCTGTCAGAACCTGCTGGATTTCACCCCTGGTCTGAACCCATTTTGTGTCCTGTGATAAGCAGGCTGCACAGAGAGGTGTGCAAGATGTTTCAGAGCAGAAACTTTTCAAACTCAGCCTGGAAAAGAAACCTGCTGTTTTAAAGCTCAACGCTCATTGTTCTGACTTTACTGGAATTGTTTCAAGTTAGAAAATGCTCTGTTTGGGTTAGAAAATGGGAGTTTTGGAGCCATTTGGATCTGCTGCCCAAAATTAAAAGAGGAAAAACAACCCGTCTGGTGATAGTAGTGTCTTGCGTGCCTGCATTGTCTGCTGTCTGCACATTGTGAACTGTTTTTATAGCACCTCGTCGTCTTCTTCCCTCTGGCTTTTTACTTATCACATTTTCTCCCCTGGTTTTTTTTTTTTTTTTGGTAATGTTTATTCTGAGGAGTGGGGAATGGAGAGTGCAGGGAAGCTGTTGCTTAACAACCCCATACTTGTTGCTAAGCAACAGTGCTTTCCTTACTCCGCTCTTTCTAGGTTTGCCTAAATAACAATGTCTGAAATTTATGAAAAGAAATAACTGTTCCAAGGACACAGCCAAGTTCCCCTTGATGAATCTCAAAATGCTAAATTTCTAACAGAGGTGCCCACATTTCTCTTGTGCTCTTCTTCTGCATCTTTTATTATTAAAGTTGACCCAATATTCCTGGGAATAGCTAAAGCAGAGGTCTTCAAGCTTGGCAGCTTTAAGACTTGTGGACTTCAACTCCCAGAATTCTGGGAGTTGAAGTCCTCAAGTCTTAAAGCTGCCAAGTTTGAAGACCTCTGAGCTAAAGTAACTGATTTCATTCAAATCAAACAATGGATAAATGCACAGGAGTAAACTGTTTGTATGTTTTGTTCATGTGGCAATCCTGACAGAAGATGCTTAATGTTTTCTCTTTGCTGCATATACCAGTTTTTGACTTAAGAATTCTGGATATCTTGAGCCAAATTTATTTTACAGGGAGTGGCCATTTTCCATCACATCTTGCATTCCATCACTCTGTGGCCTTCATTAATCTCATTTCATGAAATAGTAAAATAGCAATATGATCTGGGAGTTGGATAAAGCAGGCTGACTGTATTTCCTGATCTAAGTAAAATACTTCTAAAGTTAAATACCCTTTGCCACCATCACTTTAAGGACCATTTCTGTGATACTCCGGATGTTTGTTTGTTTGTTTAATTATTTTGTCAACAAGTACAAGGAAACAAGTATCAGTATAGACATAGACATGGATACATGAAAATATGGCACAAATAAATGGATATAAATAAGCAAAACTTTGCCATAAACACATAAAATGAGTACATATAAATGGGGACAGTATGACAGGGACGGTAGGCACACTGGTGTGCTTATGCATGCCCCCTAATGTTGAAACTACAATTTCCAACAGCTCCAGCCAGAGGTGAGGTACGTTTGACACTGGAGTTAAACAACATCTGAAAGGGCACAGATGGCCTCACATCATAGGTGGAGGTAGAGATATCAGGTGCAACAGGTTATCATCATGCCAATTATGCACCAAATGGCATTTGTATCATAGCATAATGTGCTGTGATGCATGAGATGTCATTGTGTTCTATCAAATGATTTTATTGAATGCATGTACAGTGAATGTAAAGTTTACAAATTTGTAAAAATGAAATTATAAAAATCCAGCAAAGCAATTAGTCAGTTTGTTAAGTCCCTGGATAGTCAGCACTACTAACATCTCCAAAATACTTTTGAATTTGTGTAGATTAAGACCTTTTTTAAATGCTGTGATTTAAAGCTGACCCATCTTCCTTCGAATGCCAGGAGACTTTAAAATTTGTGCTGGAGGGAACAGGGCTCAGTTATACCACAATGATTCACCCTGAGAGTGATTCAGATATTTCACAACATAGCCTTCTCACATTCCACTTAAGTAGCTTCACTGATGAAATCTCCAGGCTGTGAGATTTACAAACCAGGCACCAAAGCTCCTGTCCAAAGATGGAGAAGGAATGTAAAGTATGTCCATTGCATAAAGAATAGCTCAAAGATTCATTCATAGATAGGATCTAGACCAAACAACAGCCCAGCTCTGTGTGGAAGGCTACAGGATCACTGGCTTCATCTGTCCCTGAATCCAATAGGCCAGTGGATCTCATATTCATTAGCATGTTTCATGATGTTTCATTAGCCAGTTAGATCCTAACTATTATTTTGGGGGAGGGGAGACTCTTACTGGGTTGTTCTTTTATGTATCTCGACCTTATGAGCCCTGGTGGCACAGTGGTTAGAATGCAGTACTGCAGGCTATTTCTGCTGACTACCGGCTGCCTGCAATTTGGCTGTTCGAATCTCACTAGGCTCAAGATTGACCCATCCTTCCATCCTTCCGAGGTTGGTAAAATGAGGACCCAGATTGTTGGGGGCAATATGCTGACACTGTAAATGAGTTAGAGAGCACTGTGAAGGGGTATATAAGTCTAAGTACTATTGCTAAGTGCTATTGCTATTATGGTAACTTGAGGACCATGTTTCCTATCATGATTACATCACTTCACCAGGAAATATGAGGCGAGATTAATAACATTCCGTATCTTCTATTGAATAAATAATTCTGCCTTTGAAATATAAATTTTTGTGTAGAGAGAGGCAGAATGTAGACAACGTAAAAATGGAGATGAATGACCCATAATAATCACAGGTGTAGTCGCACAAGCAATTGCAGAAACTGTTTGGACTCAGGAATGTTCATTCAGGGTACATCCCACATATTTGCAAATTTTCTTCCAGGAGCAAAAGATTCAGAAACATGTTGTTTAGGAATTTAGCTCTGCCCTTGAGAAGTAGCTGAGAGAGGGAGAATGGTTGCCTAGTCCCAGGAGAATGAAAAGTATGGGAAAGAGACTCAGCCTAGCTCCACCTTGATATTTTTCGCTTTCAAAAGGGACAGTGAGGATTTTGGACAGATTTTCAAAATTGTGTAAATACCGCTACAACGGTAAAGTGGCCTTCCTGGAATTCCTGCAGGGTATTGTTCTTGACGTGACCTCCTGCAACACTGCAAGGAGCTGACACACGTTTTCCTTTTCTTTCATCTTAAGGCAAGGTCCTACAAAGCTGATAATTTTTTATAACAAATAGGAGGTGAAGTATTGATGCTGCAGTCTTACAAGAACATTTTTATATCCAAGTCACATCTTTTTCTCTAGTTGGCATCCATACTACGGCATTTCATGAACTTAGGCTGACTGTCCCCGTGCCATAATAAACATCATAAAATAAAAATGCATCAGCACGATTCAAACCATACAATTAAACTGCTAAGCAAGGGGTAGTCACACCTTTCATCAAACTGGTCCCCTCTTTTGGACCACCGCAGAATGTTTAATGTTAAGCATTAAGGGAAGCTGTCTCACTGTTGCCTCTCAGATTACATTTTGTGATTTGTATTCTAAACTCTGCAGAATATATCCAAAGATGTACATGTTTATAACATTTTTAAATTAGGTCAGGCTTGACAAAATGCCCGAAAAGCCTGCTTATGATGGATTCTTCTGGCACAGTGAAGGGTTATGCAGAACTAGAGAAAAGGGATTCTCATCCACCACTTATTATCTGCAGGGTGACTGCAAGGAAAGATCAGCTCAGTCTGTGGAACTGGGTAGCTTATCTCCACATATGTATGTAGTGCAATGAGCTCATAATATTCCCTACAGCGTGTAACTGTCAGGGGGCATTGAATTCTAGGCAATCTGCAAGGTTTTGTTTGTTTGTCTGTTTGTTTGGAGAAGGATTGATCATTGAATAAATGCTTCCCAGAAGAAATGAAGTTTAAACTCCTCTGACCTAAAATGGCATTTTTCTTGTCCGTACTATAGCTTTGGGAGTGATTTACATGCAACATATTTAAGTCTGGAACAGTAGTACGACGTATTACTTTGTTCAACTCTGATGATGCAATAACAAAATTTAGTGCATTTTGCATTTTCTATTAATAGCCTGGTGTGCATGTGTCTGTTAACTGATTTCAAAAAGCAGTGCATATCTTTGAAAAACTGCAGCAATACTTAGAATTTCCTACTGTACTTTCTGCAAAATGAAGTGGTAGCATTTGAACAAGAACTTAGGTTAATTTTGTGTCTTCATGAATATATGCATTTGCAAAAATGGAAAAATAATTATAATTTAGATTTCAGTGCAGACTTGCACAATTTTGCATTTTAAAGCAGTACACAAAAAGTTTGTTATTCAAAACTTGCACTTTCCTAAATTTTACCATAAAGTTTATCAACACATTTGTATGTAAGTTACTAAGGGAAAGGTCTGCGCAAAGATGTAGATATTCATGAAAACAAAGAATAAAATATACTGGGATATTATTAGCTAATAATGTATGCAGGAGGGTAATATGACAAAAGAAGTATGTATGTTTACAGAAATGTGCACCAACATTCATGCAATTTTAATGCAGAGTTCTCAAGTTTGGTTCAAGCAACTGCAATACACAGTAGCTGTAAAGTAAAAACTAAACCTGGTATAGTAGATCCGCTTATCCCTAAAGGCTGATACCAGGATATTATGGGACAGGATGAACCAGGTGCCAATCATCTAATTAATGTCTTCCTTCTTTTCTTTTTGTCCATCTCCTTTGCCAGATTCTAACCCCTTCCAGGAAGATATTTCTCTGCAAGTGCCCAATACAGTTGAGGTCAAATCACGAATTTCATCCACATCATCTGCCTCTACAGACCTGAATAGCCTGGACACCAGTGAAGAAGGAGCTGAGACTCCTGTGGTGCAGTCAGATGAGGAAGAATTGGAGCAAGATGGGTCTGAAGAACAGGAGAGCAAGAGCTAGCGAGGTTTTCCATCCATCGTGCTATAACGGACCCTGCCAGCATGAGATTATGAACATGACTGGATTGCTCTGATTCCCACTGTGTAAAACCCACAAAAACTCCCTGTCCAATTGTTGTACTTGGGGAAGATTCAAGATGATCTTTCCTCCTGCAAGATGGTCAATGCATGGATAAGGCAACAGAAGAGGGAGAATAGGGTGAGGCATGGGTGCTACAGAATTAAAATAGAATTTAACTCTCCATCTTTTTACACATATAGTAATGCTTCTGCTTCCCTCACATGAGGACTCCGTTTGCTGCAAGGCTACAAAGATTTAAAACAAGGCCTTTATGCAAACTGATAGGCTCCCTAATCCTAACACATATATACACACAAACATGAATGCAGCATGTCTTTAATTGTAACATAATAGAAAATTACATTCCTTTCAAGCAAGCAGCTGGGATGACGTGTGTTACTGGGAAAGGAACAATGAGGCTACCTGGATAGGAAAGATGGAGAAGGAATAGCTGAAAGGTGGTGGGACTAAAATAATTTGAAAGGTTCTTGGAGTGAATCAGATTTTTATTAACTTTTTCATTCGTCTGATTTTACATCCTTATATTGCAAATGAAGGGCATGTACCACAAAGCACAGGAAGAGCTCTGGAGGAGGGAAATGGGTCTTATGGAAAAGCTACAGTCAGGACAGTCCTTAGAAAAATTTCCTTTGAACCTCCATACTGAACACCTCAGTAGTAAAGTGAACTTTGATTGCTCTCCCATAAATTTTAAAGTAGCCCAATTATTTCTACGATGAAAACATCATCTCCATTTCCCCCAATCATTTTTATTTTATTTGATGGGGGAGAAATGGCTTTCAGATCTTTTTCCATGGGAGAAGAACATTTCGTACATTTTTTAATGGCTGTGGTGCTGTGTCTTTTTATTTACCTTAGTTGTAAAGTGCCTGAGAGGTACTTGTGTGTGCTCTACCTTTCATTCCACAGTCACATCTCCCACTCTCTGGCATCCCAGCCTTCAATTATATTGGTGAAGGTCAAATCAGACAAAGACTGCCAAACAAAACTCCTTCCATAGAGCTTTTTCAGATTAAGAAGAAGGGGTAGTCAAAGATGCTGTGGAATGATGCAGATACAGATAATAGGGGACAAAAAGGACTACTGACTGCCTCTTTATAAATTTAATTACACTGATAGAATATTTGTAGCTCGAGATTGAACTGTGAGGTCCTTGGTGCTCTCTGAGTTTGGTGGTTTTCTTGCAGACATTTCATTACCAAACTAGGTAACTTCATCAGTGCTAAAATATTTACACTAAAAATGTCTCTTCCCCCCCGCCCCCCCAAAATAATAAATCCCTGGCATATGAGGCAGATAGAATGAGGCAGAAAAAGAGAATACTCTTTCTCCAGGAGAAGGAAGCTTTGTCGAAATTAGAGGACAGATTTTGGCACTTAAACTTTCCTTAAGCTTTCCTTTTGATATATTATTATTATAAAGAACTTGCTCCCTTTATTATATATATATATATATATATAATTTTTATTAGTACTTTTCACATGATTAAAAGATAAATATAATAATACAATGAGAGACCAACAAAAAAGAAAAGATAAAAGCATGAAAGATAGTACAAGCAGAAAAAAAGAAAAATATATAAAGAAGCAATCTCTTCCGATCTCCTTTAGAGCAATTACAAAATTATTGTGTCTATTTCCTCTTTAAAATTATCTTACATGATTCTCTTCCTGTATTTATTTTTATCCCACCTTTATATTATTTTTATAAATATTCAACACTTTTTAATCAGCAAATCCAAAAATCATTTTTTTTCTATTTTCAGCATAAAGTCCCTGTTCCAGTCTTTTATAAAAATATTTGTTTTATCCTGATCAAACAGCTCAGTTTTGTCATTACTGCCAATTCTGCCATCTTCACAATCCATTTCGCCATTATAGGTATGGCAGTATTTTTCCAACTTGGGAAATATAATAGCTGCAGTTATGCAAAATCTATAAAACATTTCTAATTGGTTATCCATAAGTGCTAGTTTCATTTGAATATTAGGCTTTAAAATTCTTTATGTCATTATACGTATTTTTTTTGTTTGTTCGTTCGTTTTTCACAAGTCTGCCATGCATGGCAAAATGATCCTTCATGCTTTTCACATTTCCAACATGGGTTAGAGGTACTGTTATACAGGAGCATTTTACATATTGCTGAACCACTATTTTGTAGCTAATGAGGAGTGATGCTGGAAATTTCAAATCAGGAGGCCAAGATGTTCCCTATCGTTGATGCGTAATAGTCACATGTGAAGGATGCATGAGATGAGTCTCAGAAAGTTCCTGGTAAAATCTCACCACAAGTATGAACCAGAGAGTTAGCTGTAGCATCACTTCATCTCTTTTCCAAAGCCTTCCTACTTCCTCGCTATGGGAACAATAATATTGAAAAATACATTGGTTGCAGTATCGAATTCTATAGTTTTAAGAGATTTGTACAGCCAATTGTTTGCATATGATTTTTTTTAAATGTAATTGCTTTGATCCAATATAGGTTTTAAAAGTGCCCCACCTCACAGGGACATTTGGGGGAAAAAATCCGAGAAGGTATATGTATGTAAAGTGCTTTGAATATTAAATGCTAAATAGTTTCATTATCATTTTTTTTTAATTTTAGCGATTAGGGTCAACTCAAAATCCTGGATATGTTTAGTAGACAAGTTAGTAGTTTGGAAAAGGATGATGCTCTTCAAAAAAACATGCTGAAGATCATAAGAATATGCTAGATTAGGTTAAAGTGAATAGTTTATGGTTAACTATGTCATGGGAACCAAGCAACTTTCTTAGTAAGTTATGTGGATCAGGCCACACTTCATCCCTTCGCTTGAAGGGAAGGAATTCAGGCAGTGGGATAGATGTGACTCCACTGTCAATGGGGACAGTTTGTAGGGTTTTCCTTCACTGCACTGTAGGATTGAAGATACAGATAGTCTTCAATTTATGACCATAATTGAGCCCAGAATTATGATCATAAGTCCTTGCAATCATTAAGCAGGACACCATGTGACAAGGCCCAACTTTAACACATTTTTGTGCAGGCATTACAGGAACACTGTAATGGCTGTTAAGCAAATGCTGCGATCATTAAACAAATCCATTATACCCAATGGATGGTGTTTGCTGAAAACCGCCAGAAACCAGCAAAAGCACCAAAAATTGCAGTCATGTAACCACAGGATGTGTAAACAGCCACAAAGGTGAATCAGTTGCTAAGGACACAAAACAATATAACTTGGGGGTGGGGGCAGCTACTGTAAATTCAAAATTGGGTGGTAAGTACCTTCTGTGGGAGGTTCCATTGCAACTTTGAACAATCACTTAGGCAAACAGTCACAATAAACCATGCCTGAAAAATGTTACAAATTCAGTGACATGTCAAACTGTCAACATCTTACATGCCGAAAGCTTTAAGAGTAAACTAATAGCAGATTTAGTAGCAAAACCACTGTGAGAGATGGAACTATACAGTAGTATTCATCTGAATGAGAACTTTCGTGGTTTGGGGCATATTGTTGAATTCCAATTCCCATTAGCCCCAGCCAGCATAGAGAATGAACAGCCATATGAGTCTCTGTGGGGAAAGAGATTTAAGAAAGCATGAAGGTAGGGGCTGCATGACCAGAGCCCGACCCAAATGTTACGTGCACAAAAGAGGTTTTGGCTGCCATCTCGACTACTTTTAATCCCCTTGTGTAAATGCCCCTGAACAATAATGATAGCCATTGTAGTCGACAGAGATTTGGCAGTCCCACAGGACAGAATGATTATGGAAGGTTTCAATATTCCTGATACTTAATTCATCTGTTTTTATTTGTTGACAACCTCACTGTGTGAAATAGCTGCCTTTGTGGACAGAGTCCTGCCTGTAGCTCTTAGTCAATTGGTTGGATTAATCCATTAAAACATGATGATTGACTAAAAAAATGTCTCCAAGTTAAATCTCTGCTAAATCAAGTGATAATTGAGAAGTAACAATGGGGTCAATTATAGCTAGAAGTCAGGGATGGGTTCTACTTACCTTTACTACCGGTTTGCAACGGGGCCGCACACGTGCATGCGCAGAAGCTTCCTGATGACATCGGGGTCGGTGGGCAGAGCCTCCCACCAGTTTTACTACCGGTTCTACAGAACCGGTCCAAACCGGTGGCAACCCACCACTGATAGAAGTGTTACAGGATCAAAAGCAATCTGATTTGTGGATATTTACATGATTTGATGTATATGGCATCAAGTGGGAAATACTTGAGTTTTAAACACGATAACACATTGATCCTTGGATAGAGTACTGGAAATAGGCGTGGGGAGAGAAAAAAACATGCAGAGTGCAGTCCTGTAACAAAATTTATACAACTTAGTAAACAGCCTATGAAACTGTCTTATTAGTTCTCAAGCCAGGTTTGTGACCGCTAATAATGTTAGTTTACAGACTGGTAACCAAGGCTAAAGATCAAAATTTTGTAGGCAGATTTAAAATTGTTTTAACACTGAAGTCTATGTCAGGCACTGCAGATTTACTCCTTCAAAGATAAATCACAAAATAATGTGATGGGTGGAGCCACGGGGTGCGGGGAAACCAACCTTGACTGTTTAACACAGAGTTCTTCAAACTTGGTAGCTTTAAGACTTGTGGACTTCAACTCCAGCATAGCTGTCTGGAGAATTCTGGGAGTTGAAGTCCACAAGTCTTAAAGCTGCCAAGTTTGAAGACCTCTGGTTTAACAGACTCAGTTGGTTCAAGTTAATACAGTATATAATTTTAAAACAATTGTTTCCAGATCCACATGGAATGGGGTGTTGGGATGTGGGGTGGAGAAGGAATCGGGCTGCTACATTGAATAGTAGAGAGGTGCTATACTTGCTTGAGTTCTGAAGCATTTACTTCAAATCATTTTTGAAGTGTGCCCAGTGCTATTAAGGAAAGGGCCCCCTCTCATTACCAGTGGCAATTTGTAAGGGCATTAATGCAATTAATTAATGGAAGGACATTTTCCCCGATAACAATCTGCTTAAGGTAAAGGTAAAGGTTCCCCTCGCACATATGTGCTAGTCGTTCCCGACTCTAGGGGGCGGTGCTCATCTCCGTTTCAAAGCTGAAGAGCCAGCGCTGTCCGAAGACGTCTCTGTGATCATGTGGCCAGCATGACTAAATGCCAAAGGCGCACAGAATGCTATTACCTTCCCACCAAAGGTGGTCCCTATTTTTCTACTTGCATTTTTTACATGCTTTTGAACTGATAGGTTGGCAGAAGCTGGGACAAGTAACGGGAGCTCACCCCGTTACACGGCACTAGGGATTCAAACCACTGAACTGCTGGCCTTTCGATTGACAACCTCAATGTCTTAGCTACTGAGCTACCGCGTCCCTAACAATCTGCATACTGATACCTTAAATGAATGTCATGCCTTGCTATCTGCACTGAAAGAGAATAGGTGTTCTTTTTCTGTGTGGCATCCATTCACATCCTTGAAAAGTCCTATCTCTCAAAATCATTGCTTTATTCCTGGTTCTTTCCCTCTTCTTCTATGGTTTATTAGGACTAGAAACCTGAGACTGCAAAAATCCAGACAACTGCTAGATGGCAGCAAAGCGATACAGTTTCAATTCTCTGCTGCCATCCAGTGGTCATCTGGATGTTTGTAACCTTAGGCTGGTAGCCTTGGGTTTATACAGTGAACCTCACCTTACCATAATCTGTTCAGTGAATCCATTTTTTTGAGCCTGCATGATACACTGAACCATTAACTGATTGCACATTCACATAACCCATTAGTCCAAACTGGTGGGTGACTAGATTTTGTGGCTCACAGACCTTAGAAAACTGACATAGGAAACCACTGACCTCAAGAATATTCAGGTTGCCCATGAACCAGTGGTAGGTTTCAAAGATTTTTATTACTGGTTCTGTGGGTGTGGCTTGGTGGGCGTGGCAGGGGAAGGATACTGTAAAATCTCCATTACCTCCCCACTCCAGGGGAGGTTACTGCAAAATCCCCATTTCCTCCTGATCAGCTGGGACTCAGGAAGCAGAGAATAGATGGGGGCGGGGCCGGTCAGACGTGGTATTTACCGGTTCTCTGAACTACTCAAAATTTCCACTACCGCTTCTTCAGAACTGGTCAGAACCTGCTGAAACCCACCTCTGCCATGAACTGCAAGTTGGCTTAAATCAGAATGGTGATACTTAGTATAAATGAGAATATAAAACTCTCCTTGAAAGAATAGAATAAGCTCAAGAGGAAAACGAAGTGCAATGTATAAATAACCTTGGGCTGGCTCAGTTCCTGGGGCCCTCTGTAGTTGCCTGGCATCTGTACTGAGTCAACACATCAGCCAGCCCTTTATGGCCCTGGTTGCAGCTTTTAGCACTAAAACTTCTGTCCAGGTGCAAATGACTCATAGACTCTCTCTCCCCCACTCCCTCTTGCAAGTGCAGCTCTCTAGTCATTGTTTTTGAGAGAAGGGTTGAATAGAAAAGGAGGGACTGAAAGGGGGAAGACTTTGGGAGGAACAGGTGGGTGGTGAGAAAGTCCAGAAAAAAAGATGTGGCAGCCACAAAACTCACTTCTCAGTAAGGAAAAAGCCAGTGAAATAATGCAAGTGTTTTGAAAGGTCAATAGCTGAACTGCAGTCGGAAAATAATTCTTAATAGCTTTGCAGAGAAAAATGTCTTTCACACTTATCATATCTGATCATCTAGTCTAAAGCTTTTCACAGAAAAGCAATGAAAACTGTGGGAGGGGAATTTAAACAAGTAAAATGCATTAAAGTACAAAAGATACAATTTGTGACAATTCCATTAAGTAACTGGCCAGTTTGGTTAAAGGCCAGCTAAGGCTTTAGGTGCCAGATGCATGGAGAATGAAGCTCCTTCTTATTGAACAGACATGTGAAGAGCCTAATAGCAATAGCATTTAAACTTACATACTGCTTCATAGAGTTTTACAGCAGCCCTCTCTAAGCGGTTTACAGAGTCAGCATGTTGCCCCCAACAATGTGGATCCTCATTTTACCAACCTTGGAAGGCTGGAAGGCTGCATCAGCCTTAAGCCAGTGAGGATTGAACCAGTGGTGGAATTCACTTTTTTTTACTACCGGTTCTGTGGGTGTGGTTTGGTGGGCGTGGTGTGGCTTGGTGGGCGTGGCAGGGGAAGGATGCTGCAAAATCTCCATTCCCTTCCCATTCCTGGGGCCAGCCAGAGGTGGTATTTGCCAGTTCTCCGAACTACTCAAAATTTCCGCTGCCGGTTCTCCAGAACCTGTCAGAACCTGCTGAATTTCACCCCTGGCTTGAACCCCCTGGCAGTCAGCAGAATTAACCTGCAATACTGCATCCTAATCACTGTGCCACCACTGCTGTTATAAAACTAGACTTCTTCCACTTCCCTCTGTATAATCATTAATAGATTAAAATGTCTATCTTCTTTTGCAGCTAGCAGTTCTATAGGGATAATGGGAGATCTAGGAACATAAATATAAATAAATAAAATAAATCATACAGCTGAGTTCACACACTGAGCTAAGGCATGGCTTGCTTAACCATGCTATACTATATAAGGTACAACTGACACCAGATATTTCCACCAGATGCTAACCCATAAATCATGGTTTTCAAACTACACTGTAGTGTACAGGCTCATTCAGCACACAAAGCCACAATCAAACAATCACATTATACACTAAGCTGTCATCGTAAACACTTAATAGACACCAAATTCAGAAGAAGCCCCCCAAGAGGCTCATTGCATCAGGGGTGGAGGAGTCATTTTATCTGCTGTGGTCTCGAAAAAAAAGTCTACTTCTGCCAGCAACTGTTTGCATTGAAAGAAATGTACCACAAAGTGCCAATGACAACGTATGTCTTGCTTTCTGAAGGTAGTGACAGAAAAGAATCTGGTGAATTCCTTATTATGTGCCATGTAACTATTAAAACATTTTAAATATTTCTCAGATAATTACTCAGAAGTAAGTACACAATTTAAAGGGTTGATCTGATTCTTCCTTCCTTTCTGCAATAAATAATGTTTTATCAACTTCGCTTTGTAAAAGTCCCATGTACAGGTCAAATGAAGTTGAGAAAATGGCCAGTCCATTAGGTGATGAGGGTGACTGACATCATTGTATTATTGCTTTTTGTTGTTTTATTTATTGTATTATCACTCTTATTACATCCAACAAGATGCAGCTCAGTGGTAAGAAAGAAAGGTAAGGCCCTGCAATTAGGCAGGAAAAACCAAATGCGTGGATATAAAATAGGAGGTACAGCCTCAACAACAGTGGTGGAATTCAAATTTTTTTACTAACGGGTCTGTGGGCGTGGCTTGGTTGGCGTGATGTGGCTTGGTGGGCATGGCAGGAAAAGATACTGCAAAATCTCCATTCCCATCCCACTCCAGGAGAAGGATACTGCAAAATCTCCATTCCCATCCCACTCCTGGAGGAAGGATATTGCAAAATCTCCATTCCCACCTCACTCTGGGGCCAACCAGAGGTGGTATTTGCCGATTCTCCAAACTACTCAAAATTTCTGCTACTGATTCTCCAGAACCTGTCAGAACCTGCTGAATTTCACCCCTGCTCAACAGTAGTAACTGTGGGAAGGATCTAGGTGTCCTGGTCGATCACCATTTAAGTATGAGCAAGCAATGTGTTGCAGCTGCCAAAAATGTCAACACAGTTCTAGGTATACCAACAGAGGGATAGCTTCAAAATCATGGGAAGTGATAGTACAGCTTTATACTGCACTGGTGAGGCCACACCTGGCATAATGCATCCAGTTCTGGTCACCATGACACAAAAAAAGTTGCTGAGGCCCTAGAAAGAGTGCAGTGAAGAGCAACAAAGAGGATAAGATGACAGCTAAATTATATGATGAATGGCTAAGGGAACTAGGTATGTTTAGCCTAATGAAAAGAAGGCTCAGGGG